ATTTCATTCACATGTGTTTCATAAACACATAATCCTTTGGATTACAATCCGCCAACAAAATGATACATTTCATTATTCTGGCTGCTGTGAGAAAAGGCTACAAACAATCTGCCACCTGCAGGATCCTCACATACGATAGCCTAGTAGCCGGGACAACTTCTTTATGTTTACAGAAGTGATGTAATGACGCAGCAGCATGCTCGACTTTCCCGCGAAAACCTACCAGTACCACTCAAATGAGAAAACATTATTATAAGCTAACAGTTGTGAAACAGGCTAAAGTAAGGAGATGGTTTTGAACACTGGCTGGGTATGTACTTGCTCAAATATTTATTTCGGGTAATTTATAACCAAAAAAAGTTACGGACTGCAGCTTTAACTTTATATAAATAACTATTTGTTATTTAAAGAGGTCTCTCGTGCGACATTAGCGTCATACTGACTCTGTTGACATCTACAGTGAGACGCCAGAACTGCAACACAGAGAACCGACCGGAAACAAAGAACTGGAACAAACGGAAGCCGAGCTGGACAAATACGCTTTGAGAAATGGCGGCCGCTGAAGACGCTAACAGTATACAAAACCCCAGTGGTTCAGAGGCTCCGAAACTGTCGGATTTACTGGACCGGGGCTGGAAGCTGTTTGAAGAGGTGGACACTACAAACGAGCCGAGCAGCTCCAATGCGGTGCAGGTGAAAGTGAAGCGCGCTATCATGCAGCTGGAGGAGGCGACACGGATGGTCAATCAGCTGGACCTGTTCAGGTTAGAGGAACACACACACACACACACACACACACACACACACACACTAAAACGCCGAGTGTACCCGAGGCGACATATTAAACCGCTCCTGTTATCATCAACGTAGCTGTCAAAGGACAGCGAGCGAGCGACGCGCTGATAACGAGAACTTTATATTTTGTCTAGTCATTAGTTGCCAATTAAAACAGTAAATGTAAACAGTAAACACTTTCTACAAAAGTGTATGTATTGTTACTCAGTTCTTAACAGCTATATAGAGTATGACTCAGCTGTGTACACTGCTTTACACTGAATTGTTGATGTCATATCTTCACTAATTTCGTTATTTGGCTACACAGTTAGTGATTTGCACTAATAAATATTACAGGACTACATAATTTTTCTTCCAGTATCTAGAATGTATTTTGTGTGTATTTTGCCTTGTGTTATTAAAATAATAAACTGACAATTAAACTAACATTACAATTATACATACCGTTCAACAATATATATATGAAAAATATTTGAACATGAGAAACACATTTTGCAAAAAAAAAAAAATTATAATAATAAAAAATCCAATGAGTCACATGATCATTACAAAACAACCGCTAAATAAAACTCACAGGAGTATTTATTAATTTCTTTGTTTTTTCTGTAGTCGTAATGAGGCATTGGAGGAAATCTCCACAGCTGACCTGAAGTACCTGTTGTTGCCGGCTCTTCTGGGAGCGCTCTCCATGAAACAGGTGAACCCCAGCAAGCGTCTGGAGCACGTGCAGGCGGCCCGCGTCTACTTCATGGACTTCCTCCAGAGGTGCAAGGACTATGAAATGTGTAGTTTTCAGCTGCCCAGAGCCAGCGAGAACACAGCAGACACTCCTACTGAGGAGCAGACCAATCCATCAGTCCCGATGCCAGTGGCACAGCCAGACCTCATCGCAATGGCAACACAAAGACAAGCCAAAATAGAGAGGTGGGTTGGCACTGAATATTTGTTAACATGCGATTATTTTATAAATACACTGGGGTAAGATATTTAAAGATGTTTTTAAATTAAGTGTCTTATGCTCGCCAAGGCTGCATTTATTTGATCAAAAAAATACAGTAAAAACTGATGATTGTGAAACTGTTTTCTGTTTTAATATAGTTTCATATATAATATTTTTTATTGTAATATGTGCTGATTTGGTGCTCCAGAAACATTTCTTAGTATTAATAATGTTGTGCTTATATTTTGGTGGAAACTGATACATTTTTTTGTTCAGGGTTCTCTGATGAATAGAAAGTTCAAAAGAACAGCGTTTATTTGAAATGTTTTGTCACATTATAAATGTTATTTTTGATCAGTTTAAACTGTCCTTGCTGAATAAAAACATTATTTTAAAATCACATTTGAATGATCGTGTATATGTTAATATTTGTACAAGGTTGGTGTCTTTTCCATCAGTTGTGCTAATGTTTGTGTAACGTTCATGTGTGGCATATTTACTCTGTAAGTTGTTTCCAGGTTTAAGCAGCGTAAGGAGACAGAAGCCAAGCTGAGTGAGATCAGGGGGCTGGTTGAATCTGGCTCAGCCGATGAAGAGGTAGTGAGAGATTTTTACCTGCTGCATGTCCGCAGGTGGGTCACACTAGCAATTGAGGAGATCGACTCTATCAACCAGGAGATGGAGATTCTGAAGCGGATGGAGCTTTTCAAGCAGGTGTATGATTGCCAAATGAATCGCATCTGTGTGTTGTTTTTTTTTTGTGTGAATGATGTGGTTGCATATCTACCGCTCAACCTACCTCTGATTTACTGCAGAAAATATATATTAATCAGTGTTGGGGAGTAACTAGTTACATGTAATGGAATTACGTAATTTGCAAAATAAATGTGGTTACACTTTATTTTAAGGTGTCCTTGTTATAGTGTAATTATACATTTAAGTACGGAGTAATATTAATTAACTACATGTACTTACTATATGGTTAGGGTTAGGATTAGGGTTTGGTTTAGGGTTACTTGCATGTAATTATGCATAACCATAAATGTAATTGTAATCAAGTTGCTGAGAAAAAATGTGCAATTAAATTAGTTAATTATGAAAATGTTAACACACACACAGATTTAATTGATTTTGTTTATAAATTGCATTGACTGCTCTAGAATACAAGACACCAATGTTTCAGGAGTTTAGGACACACGTTTATTCGATAACTGTTTTATTTGCTATTTGGGTTTATATATATATGGTTTAAATGTTTGAATGTGATTAACAGTTAAAAACATTAGAAATTTTGTCCTTGCTACAGTGTAATTATACATTTAAGTACTGAGTAATATTAATTAACTACATGTACTTACTATATGGTTAGGATCTCAATGTACAAAGAGGTGCTAAAGTCTGATTTTGTGGCTGTGCTTTAAAATTTAAATTATTATTATCTTAATTCAAGTGATGAAGGCTTTTAAAAGTCTGACAGTAATCAGTGTTGTGTGCTACTGTAAGGTTAACCCTGCCTGGTTTAAATGTTTGAATGTGATTAACAGTTAAAAACATTAGAAATTTTGTCCTTGCTACAGTGTAATTATACATTTAAGTACTGAGTAATATTAATTAAATACATGTACTTACTATATGGTTAGGATTAGGGTTTGGTTTAATGTTACTTGCATGTAATTATGCATCATTTATTGTTATTATAATAGTAAGTACATGTAACAAGGATACCCTAAAATAAACTTACCGAAATTTTGTTAAAGTAATAGAAATAGTCACACTACTTACTACATTTTAAATAGAGTAACTTGTAATCTGTACCCTGTTACATTTCCCAAAATAACCTTCCCAACACTGATCATAATTTAAATATTTAAATTGATTGATAGCTTTATTAATAATTGTTTGTTTCTGTAGAGCGCCCCCCAGCCATCTCCACCTAAAAGACCACCCATGAAGCCTTTTATCCTGACTAAGGATGCTGTGCAGGCAAAGTACGTGTGCATTTGAGTGTGTGAAGTTCAGTGCTGCAGTATTAGTTTGTGTGAATTATTTTTTTTTTTTTCTTGAATGTTTTGCAGAGTGTTTGGTGCAGGGTATCCCAGTCTTCCCACCATGACAGTGGATGATTGGTATGAGCAGCACCGGCGGCAAGGATGTTTACCTGACCAGGGCATACCACGCAGTGCAGGTGCTTACATACATATTGAGTGCTTTTGCAGAACATAGATTATATTTAGAATGTATTAACGGATGATTAAATGATTTTGTCCCTCAGTCTTACTTTCACTTAGCTCAGTTTTAGCTCAGATCATCAAGTGGCTCTGTCTTTCCACCTCAGCAGATGGTGATGTAGAGGAAGATGAGAGAGCAGAAAGAGAGAGGAAGGAAGAGAACGATGATGAAGAGGCACTGCAGAAGGCACGTGACTGGGACGACTGGAAAGACACACACCGGAGAGGATACGGCAACCGCAAAAACATGGGCTGATCTGATTTCACACACTCACATACACACGCATCCCTTCAGTTCCCTCCAATAAACCTCCCAATGCTGCCAATATGTGACATGGACACAACAGAGAGTGGCACTGTAGTGGTTAGTTAAGGTGGTTCCTTTTTTTTTCTAAACCGAGTTTGCGTATTTGACATTCTTTTATATGTCTCTATGTAAATCTTAAATCTTGGTGAGCTTAAATGAGACCTTAAACCCCTGAGCATCTGTGGAGACGGATGATTGGGCGTCACCCTTTCCTACATGATTAAAAGTTTGCCTTTTCCTGGATGTTGTTTTGAGTGCAGCATTTCTACAGTGTAAGTGTTCCCTGTACTGTCAGCTTTTAGAGTCAAAATCAGTTGACTCAGAAGGACATTGTCACCCACACAATTACACCTAATGTGCTGTTTGATTTGAAGCCAGTTAAGACTGCATGCTCGTTAAGTATTAGCCAATATTGCTAGGCCTCGTTGTCTGTTTCAGAAGAGATACTTCAGTGAAGACGGTTCTGAAAGAGCATTTAGAACTAATATCAGCACTTGCATGGATCTGACAGTGTGGTTCAGAATTGCTGAAGAAACTGTGGGATGTTGAAACAAACTGTCTAGACTGCCTTTTTAATCTGAAATGTATTTATTATCTGCCAGCTTTGCTTTTCTTTTGGAAAACTCATTGTGAGGTCAACTTTCAGTTCTTCAGTAAACATAAAGAGAAATCAACTATCAATCTGAGGTCTCTAGTAATAATGCTTGCTTTGTGATTTAATACAAAACATTTCAAATGTATTATCAGCATAAGATTTTGAGAGACATTGAATTGGAAAAAGGAACATGAATTTAGGATAATTCGGTATGTCCTTGTTTTAATGACAGCAATCGACTTTACAAGTGCAAAAGCTGATGATCCAAAATGACAACCAAAAATCGGATATTGTTTATATGCCATTCATAATTAAGTTGAGAATGCCTTTTTAAACTCCAAATAAATTTTGGAATTTCAAGTGAGGAAGCAAACAGGTTGCAGAATTGCATTTGTATTTAATGTAGGAAAGAATTAAATTTTTTAAAATTTTAATTTTTCAGTATAAATCACCCAGTATAAACATATTTACAGCTGATAATAGAGATCAGATTTAAAGCAGGAAATAATAAAGTTGTTTTCCGTAAATTCCTCGTGTCATTCCCATTCAACATCCTGGCCAAGTCTTTATTGTATAACTTTTGTTTCTTCCATTGTTCAAAATCCTAAAAATATATTTTCTGTTTTAACAGAAAAAAATCTTTTTTTTTTAAAAATCTAGTATCGTAGACTTAATTGGGGTCGTGGAAATCCATTGCGGAGGTTTCCATGCTCAGAGGAACCATAGAGTGGTGCAGGAGAATAGGGCTGGTTGTGTTTCTGTTGGAACGATAAAGAGCAGAAGGATGATTTATTTAAGGAGAAGACCTTTGCTCATCCACAGTAAGCTTATATCTTATCAGAGCACTGCTTCAGAATTGCTCATGTGCTGTATATTGTACCATAATATCCCCATGGAGGAAAACAAATAAACTCATAAACGTTTACTGAACAGTTTCTGAAACTGAAATGTTTAATCTTGAACCATACCAGGTCATCATATGTGTGTGAAGGGACACGTGGTCTGTAATCACTGTGGTGGTCTGCAGAAGGACTGTGCTCTTCATAGGGGTTTCGGCTGGGTGAATCTCTAGCATAAGGGTTGCTAACAATCTGACCCCGAACGGCGCCATAGCTACAATCACGCAAATGCACAAAATAAAAACCACTTAATTAAACGCCAGGATGTGGAATACAAAACATGGAGACTAAGATTTTCACTTTATGATCTTAATATAAATATGCATACAATATATTTTGCCAGAGAATCTGCTGTGAAATCATATGAGCTCTTAATCATTTTATGTAGAATTATCAATTACCTGTAGGGCTGCACAGGACCTCCCATGGGAGGGTCACGCATCCCGGTGTACATGCTGTGGAGACAATCAAAGTGACATTTAAGAGACAGATTCTTCATGATCCAACAAGCATTTTAATTCAGTCAAATCACCTTTATTTCTAAAGCACTTTATACAATACAGATTGCTTCAAAACAGCACCACAGTATTAAACCGGAAATCAGCAGAATCATTCATGGAAACTCAATTACGGAAACAAGCTAAATTCTCTAATAGGACAATAGTGTCATAACAATAACAAAATTAATAAATTATGAAAAAATAAAGCAGTTCTACAGATGACAGCATTGCTATTCAACTTGAGTCAGTTGATTCAGTTCAGTTCAAACTGACTCTTAACTCAGCCTCATGAGCAGTTTTACATGCTAATTAATCGTGTGCTAAATATGCCAGATTATCTGATAGTTAGTTTTGTCAATGGAGAGCAATGAAGAATTTACATTGAACAAAATTATAAACGCAACACTAGTTTTTGCCCCCATTTTTCATGAGATGAACTCAAAGATCTAAGACTTTTGTAACTGAACTCTACAGATGCAAATAGATCAAGTGTAATTTGAATGTTTTCATGCCACTACTCTGAAAGAACTCTTAATTATTTTTATGCCTTAAAATAATACTAATTCTAATCAGATAAAAATCACATACGGGTGGTTGGGCATGGCTGTCATGGGAATATGACCTTGTTGTACAGGTCTCATGTTAGGGGGAGGCTGACCCTTTGAAAGCAAGACAAAAGGCAGAAAAAAATTAGAGATCACAAGACCATGTGCATTTTAATACTTGGCAGATCACTCAAGAAGCTAATATATCGATACACCTGTCAGATCCGTCAGGCTTAAAAAATGTCTTATGCTATGTTTTTTATGACTTCCAAAGGCATTTCCAGATAGATCCATGTTTCTGATTAAGATTATGGCAACCCTGTGCTGTTGCTATCAATCATTAACACACACATTAAAGGCAGGGTATGTGATTTTTCAAAAACACTTTAGAAAACTGATTCGGGCCGAATAGCAAAACAAACTTGTATCGCTTACTCTGCCTTTAAGCAGACTCACATTCATATCAGAAGCAAAAGCAACACCAGGGAACAAGTCCTGCTCTTTAGAGGCTGTCTTGGATGTTGTTATTCCTTCACTGAACACAAACATGCACAGAGACAGAATGAATTACTTGTTAGACATAACATTTAATGACTTAATGAGCATCATGGGCTTTAAGTCATATTTTTTAATCACACTCATAAAGTCAGGCTATGCAAGACATAAAGATTCGCCTGATGATATTCAGAATCAATAAAGCTACATTTAATTACATTAAAAGGACTTCTAGAGTTGTGTTTGTCATTCTCACCCTGTGTGGCTCTTGTTTGATGGCAACATCATCACATAAACAACCACCCCAACCAACACAGCGAGTGTGAGACCAGGCAGAGATGCTACCAGGGCAAAGGTCACAACTGTCCATTTCTGAGAGCAGTCTTCATTAACGTAAAACTCACCTTTTTGACTGTTGCACCTACACAGAGAACAGTGGAAAGGAGTGAAGCTTGTGTTTAAACTACTGTGTAGAGTATCACAGAAAAGTCATCTGTAAGGAGCAGATTACCGACAGAATGGTTGTCCCTCGAAACAGATACATCTGCTAATTTTCTCATCACAGATCACCCCACCATTCAGACATCGGTTAAAGTCAATAACATTATTACAGGCTGAAGAACACACATACAGAATCTACAGTAAGATCATTAGTTTGCATATAATGTATCATAATTATTTTTAAAACAGATACTACATAACCATTTCAACATTTTTGAACACACACTTACGGTCTGGTGTCTGTCCAGTTGCCTCATTAGTAACAAACAAGATGAAACACACGTACAGTAAGACCTTCATCTTTTAGTTCCCACACACACACAAACTCCACCAGTGACACTTGTATAAAAGGCTCTTTGCACCTGACGGGGGTATTTATGGTATTTACACCCAACACAGTGAGAGCTGGAGCATGCGCAAACACTCACCAACACACAGTGTATGTGAAACTCTTGCAGTTTTCAGCAGATATTTGCCAGTGTGGACATGTGATTCCCCCCCCCTTCATTAATTCACTTCAGTGGGCTTTTGGTGGTTTGGATTAACATTAATGAAGCCATGAACTTATAAAAGTTATAAAACTCATAAAAGTTGTAACAATTATTACAATTCTATTTTAAATAGTTTTAGATGGTGTGTATCATGTCACAATGCGGGACATTTATCAGTTTATTTTTTATAATTTTTTTTTTCTTCTGATATTTAGGCTCACATGCTCACAAACATACTACCATTCAAAAGTGAATACTAATCAGCAAGAAAAATCAATCAATCAATCAAAAAAAAGTAAAGACATTTATAATGTTACAAATGAGTTCTATTTTAAATAAATGCTGTTCTTTTTAACTTTTAATCAAAAAAATGTTAAGCAGCACAACATTAAATGAATAAATTATTCTTGAGCACCAAATCAGCGTATTAGAATGAACGCATTTTAAAGTATATTCAAGTAAAAAAACATTATTTGAAATTGTATTATTTCATACATTAGTTTTACTGTATTTTTGATTTTATGCTCACCATAAGAGATTTCCCTAAAAAAGATAAAATCTTACGAACCACAAACTTGAACAGTAGCGTAAATCAGGTGGTGCCACACTGCAGGACTGATGAAAATGGAACACCTACAATTCCTGCAGGTACTGAGACTTGAACCTGCAACCTTTGTGTCACAAATCCAACTGTCTAACCATTAGGCCACAACTGCCCCACGATGCATTTCTGTATTGTATATTTCCATGATGATAACAGTCACATCATAGGACAGTTTTCACAACTTACTTGAAACTGCTAATGCCAACTGGCAATATGAGCTGCCAGGGTTTGAGTTCAAAGTGTTTTCAAATTAATTTTAGAAAAACGGATTATAGGAGCAAGATCAAGACTAGCAGGAGAGTTGATCTAGGTTTAGGAGGGACAAAAATCACAATTTGTTCCCTTCAGATACAATTTATTTCTCACATCACAAAAGTTGTCTGAATCCCTCAAACAGGATCAATAAGTCATATAAAAATAACAACATGTAAAACACAACCATAAGAGCAGGACGAAATATACAGTTATGTGCAACACCATGATCACCTGCAGGACACAGTTACACACACAACATATAACAGAAGAGGAATAAGCGTGTGTTAGTTGTCAGAATCCATGTCACTGTCTCCACCAACGGATCTGAATTCTTCACTGTCCTCCTCATCATCACTGAGCTGTGCCTGTGTGAGAACACTAGGACCTCGTCTCCGTTCATCTTCCTCCTCCTCTTCTTCCTCTTCACTTATCCCATACACCTCCTCTCCATCTCGTTCTCCTGTCCTGGGGCTAGACACAAGCCTATGCATCTGACTGTCTCCATCATCATAACTGCCGTAGCTGTAACACACAGGAAGTGTAAGTGAAAGAGTTTATACAGAGACTTTATAAGAAGACATGGCATTTAATTAAAATAGCCACACTGCCTTACTGGCAATGGTACAATGATTTTCATCCAAAAAAATTCAATAATGGATTCTTAAAATCTTAAGAGAATATGCAGCTATCCCGCACACAGTTCTCAACATAGTAAAGTGTGTTCATGATAACACAAGCTTCAGCTGATTTTTTAGTGTAGTTGATAGTTTTTTTTATATTAGTTATATATTAGTTATCTACAGAGATGCTGTCAACAGTTTTGTAGTGTTATATTAACTTTGTACGGTATTAACAGGCTGAAAAAGTAAAGGTAGAAAGACTAAAATCAAACAGAGCATGTGAATCAGAAATCTGTGACCTACTTCATGCACACGACCATTCAAATGTTTGAAGTCTAAGATTTTTCAATGTTTTTGAAAGACTCTTATGATCATCACCAAGGCTGCATTTATTTGATCAAAAACGCAGTAAAACAGTAATATTGTGAAATATTATTACATTTTCAAATAACAGTTCTCTATTTGAATATATTTTAAAATGTCATTTTGTCCAGACGTGGCAAAGCTGAATTTTCAGCAGCCGTTACTCCAGTCTTCAGTGTCACATGATTCTTTAGAAAGGATCACATCTTACTGACTCCAAACTTTTGAGCAGTAGTAGTTTTTGCCTGCATTAGCCTGATTTAGAATTTGTGAGATTTTATTGTTGCTATGACATGCTTTAGAAACATAAATTAATCCTTTACCAATTCATGTAGATGAGAACAGTATGGAGCATGACTAGAATAGCTGACCGAGGGCATTACCAAGATGCCCCAAAGAATAACACAGGACAATTTATTAGGAAGTACTGTAAATCATTTAAATAATGTAAAATAAATGAATCACAGCACTTATCTAAGTACAAGACAAACATTATTAGACTCTAGAGTCCTGCAGTTCCTGAAGAACAGTAGCAAATCACAAACAGTGAAACAAAACCACGACTTCATCTGGAATTACATCAGCGTTACTCGAACAACAATATGCTTTTTTTTGCATATATTCTCACCTGACATTGCTGTCCTCCATGTGCATTACCCCATCAGGTCCCTCCCCCTCGTAAGACATCATACTCTCTTCCTGCTCTAGTCCAATCCGGGTGCTCTCCTGATGCCCCAGCTCAGCATCACTGTCACTGCCACTCTCTGACAGTTGGATAGCTTCAGTGGAGAGCAGATAGAGTCAATGTTACACATACAGCCAAAATATCCCACAAATACTCCTATATTCATGAGTACACACAGACTCACAGGAGAATGGATTATCGCCTTCCTCCTCACTAGCGTCGTCTTCTGCATCTGACATCAGCAGATCCTGGTAGAGCACACTGGCATGTGCTGGCCGGCTGGAGCTTTCATCGTCCTCCTCCTCCTCATCATCCCTATGCATACGCCTCTGTGGCCGCATTAGAAGATCATCTTCATCATCCTCATCTTCATCATCCAGATCACCCTCGTCAGCCTAGAAGCACATACAACACTCAAATCTCTGACAATGAAACATTCAGCTAAACCACAGATAATGTGCTATTGCTTAATGCATATTTTCATTTTGTACACAATAATTCGTTCATTAAATCAATCAATAATGGGGGGGGGAACAGGGGACTGAGGTTTCCATGTTAAAGACCTCTGGATGAAGGTTTTTTTTTGCCCAAGACTATTACCGGAGCAGGTGTTTTAGGTTTGCCATCATCATCTTCCTCATATCCTTCAATGTCCACATCAGACTCCTCCTCACCCATTCGGCCTCTGCCGTGACGGCCCTTTGGAAGGTGTACACAAAAAAGTAGTTAAGAAAACTACACAGAAGGAGAGGACCAATCAGAAAATGCATGCAGCAGAGGATGGACAGATGGAGGGAGGTAATTTATCATCTTTGGATATAATTTTTTTGCACATTAAAAGCCTAAAGCTTTTTTCGAACAAAAGAACAGTTAATGGTTGAGATACGGAAACCACTACATACTGGTCCCTGAAAGAATAATTTCAGCTACATTCCTTGCAAATGTTACTATATTGTTTTGTTCTGGTAAGAGATTCAATTTGAAAGAAATGACCGATTTTGAATTTAGCTCACTAAATACCAGTTTTAAAATGTATCCTAAACATCCTTAATAGCCGCTGGAGATGGGTTAGCAAGCAAATCAAGCAGCAACACACAGAAACCATCACAGTACAGGGGTGGGTGACCACAAGAATGGATGGTGGGGTGGAAGGACATATCTAAAGGGGTAAAGCAAGCCAGCCAATAAAATGAATGAAGAGATGAATGGACAGAGGAATAAACGAATGGACAGAGAAGGAGAGGAATACCTGCCCCCCTCTTTTCTCAAGGGTGGGAGGGATTAGCGTAGCCTCAGCTAACAGACTAGAATCTCCCTGCAAACTCACAGACACACTGTTCTCACACACATCAGGCTGAAAGAAAGAAAGAAAGAAAGAAAGAAAGAAAAGGATAGTAAAGGATAGTAAACAAAAGGAAAATCATGAAAAATAAGAAGAAAAGAAAAAGAAAAAGCCCCATTCACAGAAAGACAAACAGGTTGTCATAAAGGGAGGAGGAAAAGACAGGAACAGTGAGGAAATGTGCATCAAACAGCTGTGCAGTACAGAAAGTTTGGATTATGCAGGAGAGAGAGAGAGAAATACAAGCCTTCTGTTCTATTTCTGTCAGAATCTCTTATGCTGACATGCTTCATTTCACTGGCTACAAAATACACTTGCACACAGAGCGCTTGAGACACCCGAGATTACGCCCTCAGTGTAATCTGTGCATGTACCTGAGGTGTGTACGGTCCAGGGGTAAAGGGGTCTAAGCTCTCAAGGTCTGCAGCATCCAGAGCAGCTTCTTTAGCAGTAGAGATGTCTTTTTCCAGTTGAGTCAGGTGTTCGTCATACTAACAGACACATACACATTAAACATTTCAAAAACAAGTCAAAGCACATGAAAACAGCAAAGAGCTCACTCACTTGCACACAGACATACCTCTGCTAGAGTCTGCTTACAGATGTTTACAATCTCCAGAGATGTTTTGGTGTAAGGACTATCAGGTCCTGAAAAAGTAAAAATTTATATAAAGGTGAAACCACAATTTTTGTTGAGATGAAACAGCATTTTCATAACTAAAAGATTCATGTTTCTCACCATTGTAGTTGACACTGTTGGTGTGAATGAGACCGACATCAGAAAGAAACACCTCTCGGTTCTGATACTTGTGTTTGGAGATGTTCTACACACAAACACGCACACAACTCAGAGATTCTTAAATAAATCACATTTTAACTGAAGATTCTTGCATCAACACACAGATCGTCCTGACCTTACGGAGTGTGTCCAGATCCATGGGGTTGATGATGACTTTATAATAATCAGGAACAAATTTCTTGTTAACAGGATGATGGAAGGGCCAGGACTACAGAGA